CCGTACCGAACCCGTACCGAACCGTGACCCCCAAACCGAGGTACATACCGAACCGTGAATTCTGTGAACCGTTACGGCCCGTCCACACAGCGGCTTTGGAAAAATCTTGAAAATCTTGGAGCTGGGCGTGTCTGAGAGCTTGGGGATTTTTGCGAGCAACGCGACCAACAACCAATCACATGAATCTCCCGCCCCCGACATACAAAGCAAAAAACCCCGGGGATTTTATGCGAGCAATATATATATATATATATAAACTCCCCAAACAGGCGAAAACCTACCAGTTTTACCCACTGTCTCTGCCACCTCCCTCCATGCCTGGTTCCTCCGGTTTGTATCCCGGTAAATAGTTCTGGTCGTAAAGAACCGGGTGATTTGCTACCGTAATTTCTCGTTTGGAATATGAGGAAATGAACTGCGGTCTGTCTCTCCCAGCTTGCACGCTTGGTTTGATTGGCTAGCGCTTGTACTGTCAGATTTGCATAAACGGGATTTGATTGGCTGACGCTTCCAGCTCAGCTTCAAAAGTTGAACATTGCTCAACTTTTGAATCCTGAAAATCCTGAAAATCCTGGAAATCTTCGCTTTGCTTCCCCACAATGCAGTTCGGCGAAAAGCGAGGCAAAGTGACGTCACCCCCATTCAAAGTCAATGGGCAGAGAAGCGTGGAAGCGTTGGAAGATTTTTTTAAAGCTGCTGTGTGGACGTACCGTTAGAGAATTTAGACTACTGTGTGAGAATCCCAATTGATTTGTTATTTGAAAGCATGTAACTACATTTTCTATAATCATATGTTCTTCTATAGAGTTGTGTTTCCATAATATGTATAGGCACTCGCTAATAAACGTAAGTATGATAATATTAAGTGAAATACTAATAAAGAAACAGTAATAAATAATTCACTGTAGCAATTTGTACCGTAGCATTTCTGTCAATGTACTCTCTCTTTAGAAAGCTTGTTATGATTTGTGCAATTCCCTGTGCTTCTGAGAGCGCACACGCATTTAAAAGCGTGTGTGCTCTCGTGTTCTTTAATCAATGTGTGTGTCTTTGTATTGCAGTGCCTATTGTGAGGTGGCGCAGTGTGCGCTGCGCAGCGGTCAGACGCCCCCTGAGCTCAAGTCTTTTAGCTCTCTGGCAGGCTTCCAGGCAGCTCCCCGAGATGCAGGACAGTGTTTTAGGCAAGGAGATGCTCTTCCTGTCCCCATGCCCCCCCCTCCCCCCTCTCTGCCCCACCTCCACCACACACCCTCGTCACACTAACCCCAGATTCAAGATCAGACCTCAGTCAAACTGTCTTTGCAAATATCTAACGGCGACATTTTGCTCAATCCGACTCCTGTTCCAAATGTCAACCGTCTGCTTCTCTGAGCAGCTCGAAACTAAATTAAGTTTTGTGAACACTAGTGACCCAGGTCTGTTTCAGAAGTCACATGCTTATAAGAACAATAATATGCACTGCCATATTTTAGTCTCTTTTTCTTCATACTCTTCCTCTATTACTTTCTCTATTTGTCAAATGAACATAGAATATATATTCATCATGTCGTCTACACACAAACATTTAGATGCGTAGCGAGGCAAGACACAATACATGCATTATCTTCCAATGCGGTTTACAGTAGGGACTTTGTTTTTGCAGGTTTTACACAATTCCAGCTGCACTGATCCCACAATATTAAGTTAATAAACAATAAGTCTTAAAATGAAAGTACCATTAACCTATCTCTACCAAAACTAACCCAACCATAGTGCTTTCCTTCCAATCCATCATTACTTACGTTTAAATTCTGTAATGTTTTGTGTCTTCTGTGTTCATTTTAGTCATTTTTCAATTTCTCTCTCGTCTCCTGTGAACATCTTCTCCCTTGCTTTCCTCTCGTTCCGTTTTCTCACCTTCCTCTACACATTTCTTTCTTGCATGTTTTCCTCGCTCCCTTTCTCACCTACTGTAAGTCCCCTGAGTGTTTCCTTGTTCTAATCTCATCTGTTTCATCATCACTCCTATTCCCTTCATCTTTCTCTCACTTTCTTCCCACCACAGTATCACCACCAAGTTGGAGCGCGCTCTGGAGAAAGTGGCGCCCCTGCTGAGAGAGATTTTTGTGGACTTTGCGCCCTTTCTCTCCAGGACGCTGCTGGGTAGCCATGGGCAGGAACTGCTCATAGAAGGTACAGGTGCTGTACACGGCTCCTTTTCTCTAACTGGCGTCTCTCTGTGGAGTCTCCCCATTCACTGTCCCTCACCGCGATGTTTGTGTGTGAGAAAATAAACGAGCGATTGGATGAGTGGATGTTTTTCTGTGTGTTGTGTGATTGAATGAGAGGCTGAGTGTCTCTGAGCTGGCTGCTTCACTCATTCGTCAAGCAGGTATGAAGTCAGTATTTTACACTATTTTCAAACAGCTAGTTAGATAACGACATCAGATGATGTTGTTTTGTCAATAATACTACTGGTATTACAGCGCTGTACTAAATGTGATGCATTCTTGTCTCTGCCCACCTGCTTCCTGGCGTCTTGTTTTCGTGATCCACCGTCTCAATGTTCTCTCCCTCTCCTCCCTTCCTGCTCTTTCTCCTCCCTCCCCTCCCCCTACTGCCTCCTTCTTCATCTTTCTCTCTACTGTTTGTTCCTGTCTTCTCCGTAGCATGCTTTTTATAAACTTGACTATGATGGCTGTATACAAGAGCAGAAACCACTGACACTACAGTGCGTTCTTTGATGATATGTTTGTATCTCGAGGCAGTGTGTGTGTGTGTGTGTGTGTGTGTGTGTGTGTGTGTGTGTGTGTGTGTGTGTGTGTGTGTGTGTGTGTGTGTGTGTGTGTGTGTGTGTGTGTGTGTGTGTGTGTGTGTGTGTGTGTGTGTGTGTGTGTGTGTGTGTGTGTGTGTGTGTGTGTGTGTGTGTGTGTGTGTGAGAGAGAAAGAAAGGCTCCTGACTGCTGTATGTCTCTGTGCTGCAGGTCTGGTGTGCATGAAGTCTAGCACGTCTGTGGTGGAGCTCGTAATGCTGCTCTGTTCTCAGGTTGGTACCCCCTCCTCTCCCCTTTCTGTTTACTGCCCTAACACATATGTTCCACTTTTCCAAAGCATGTCCAAACCCTTAATTTGTCCAACCTATTTTAAAAGTGATCTTTTTTTTTCTTTTCAATAATCGTCTGAGTCGTTAACACACAGGAAGCTTTCGGGGTTATTGATCTGCCCTGTGGGTGAGCGTGTAATGAGCGCATTGCAGATGTGATATCATATCAACTTATATGCACCATCACATCAAGGCCACAAAACACATCTTCCATGACAATCACATGCATATCAACTTTTCCGACAGGATTTTTACTTGAAATAACGATATCAAAGCCTGAAGGTTCCATTGACAGTATGTCTATCTTCTTGAATAACACTCATAAGAAGGAATTACAAAAAAGGTACTTACCACGACAAGCTTTCTCCTGAAGTTTCCTTTTTCTTTGATACGATGAAGTTTGTCCCCTAACTATTCTTCTTCTAAGAGCTCTTGTCCTTAGAGGAACCCCTCAGATTCTTCAGCTCTTCTACTCTGCTTTCTTCTCTCCTCTTACTGCTTCATCTTCAACAGAACCATCAGACTCCTCTTATTTTGCTGTCCATTTTAACTCAGTGTTTCGGTGGCGACTGCTTTCATCTACTACCACTCCAACACTACCCGTCCTCGCACCACTCCCTCTCCTTTCCCCCTCCCCTCCACTCTCCCTCTCGTCAGCATGTATAGTATTACCCCAGGCTCCGGCCTCGTCTGCCATTAGATGCCCAGGAGAGCGAACCCTAGCCCAGATATCGATCCTCTGGGTGGGGGGGGGGGGGGGAGTAACAGGAGATGCTCACACGTGTCCTTCACAGGCCTGAGAGCTGCTGGAGCTAATGGAGCTCTGATAGTTTGAGGCTTTCAACAACACTCTCATCCTGCTCAGAAGTCTCCACTCTAATATGCACAGACACATAAAACACTCACATACTCTTAGATGGGTGCTTTTTTATTGACACTTAGAAAGCTCTCCGGATGTTTCTCCATCTTTATTCTGTGCTGTGTTGTGCTAGTGTACCTTACACTGGTGATGGTTAATGATGGGTAGGTGTATTTCTTCTTGAATAAATAAATAAAGCTACTATTCTTCTCAACTCTTACATGTTGATCAGCTGATTAACTGCCAAGAACACATTCGGCTCTGTGACAATGTGTGACATTTAGAGACATTTATAACGTATCTTATTTTACCAAGTTCATAGAAGCAGTTGTTAGCAATGACAATCTTTAGTCTCCGGCTCCCTCAATGCTAATTAAATATGTACAAAAAAAAACTGAAATATTTAAATGATATAGTAAAAACTAAATGAGGGTCTAACCAACACGTTTAAAATAAGGGATAATACATATCATTGAGATACAAAATAAAATACAGGTGTATAAGTTAAACAGGAATGACAAATGCATAAACTGAAAGGAAACAGGAATGTGGTTTAGTTTAGTCAGTTTATTGAACATGTCAGAAACAAAAACATACAACAATAATATATATATATATATATACTCTTTTTTTCCCCTTTTTCTTTCTCACTCAAATTGATAATTATAACAAAGTACAAAAAAAAAAAAGAATAATAACAAAAAATAATTCTCAAATAGTCTCTGTCATGTTCAACAGGGGCAAGAAGAAGCTTAAAAAAACTTTTCCTGGCCCTACCCCCTCTAGCATATATTTTTCTTATAAATAAAATATTAGGTCATCGTCATCAGCGGCATTTTTGTTTGCTTTTTGACAAAACAATCAGAAAGACATTTCTTTTACAATTACAAGAAATAACAACAAATGGGATTTTACAGGTCCTGTTCATAACCATGAATGATTTGGCTCCTAAATAATACTTTCAGTTTAGATAGACTTGTACAATATTTATAACACCTTTTGATGAGATGCAATGAAGTTTGGCATTTGTTCGTACAGGTGGTTTTTTGAAAATGCAGTTTCCTCTCAACATGTGCATGCTTTCTCTCCGTATGAAAAGTCCCTGGATATTATGGGGACTTTTAATTATGTATATGTGTAATGGTAAAAGTACAAATACAAATATACACTTGTAAAACATAAGTAAAAGTATATAATAAAAAGTATGCATACACAAATATAATTTGAAACATTGCCTTTCTGGACAATGTTTCTAATAATGCTGGTTTATGGCAATATTTAATTCACATTTTTCACATGTTTGTACAGTAAGTAAATATCTTGATTCCTTAGTCTTTTCCTACACACAACACCTTTTTCTTACCATATAATGTTTATCCTGTGCATCTTGTACACTTAGGAGTGGCAAAACTCCATCCAGAAGAACGCAGGATTGGCCTTCATTGAGCTCATCAACGAGGGAAGGTAATCCATCACACAGACTGCACACCATCCCATAAGGCTTCCTGTGATTCACACATTAACCGCAACACTGTTATCACTGCCTAACAACTAATGGTTATTATAGAGCCCTAATGAGAGTCTTGCCAGGATAAGTGCACAGTGCCATGTGTTGGTTGCAATTAACCGTACAGTGATGGTCTTATTTCAGTGCCTTTCTTTTATTAGAAACTGTATTGTACATAATTAGAGTAAAACGCAAATAACTAAATATTTAAACATCCCGAAAAAGGATTCTATCTATTAAACAAAGCGGTTTATCCATACAAACATTATCTTCAGCTGCAGATAGACCAGTGTTATTGATCTAATTTAGGACAATGTATCATATTGAGGGAAACTTTCTTCTTCCATTGAAACTTGAAGGTGATGCTAATACCTGTATATACTAATACCTCATTTTTGTTACTCTCTTCCCCCCCGTCACCAGACTCCTGTGCCACGCCATGAAGGATCATATTGTACGTGTTGCCAACGAAGCAGAGTTCATCCTAAACAGACAGAGGGCAGAGGATGTACACAAACACGCTGAATTTGAGGTAAACACATAGAGCACCGGTACTGTTAGTGACATCAATAAAGCCTCCAGGGAACAAGCTTTGTTTTTATTGTTTTTTGTTACAATAATGAGCAGACAAACAGTATGAAAGCAGACAGGGTCATCCTGGGTAAAAAGAAATGCTTACTGTGTTGTAGAAAATATGATATATAATACACATACATACAATACGTACTTGCACACACATCTATACAATCGTACACACATTTATCTCCTTAGATGCTCCAACAGTATACATGTATGCATACCAGGGTTTCCGCTAGGATTTTCAATGTCGCTAGGTCAAATGTCCGGAAAGAATTTATTTTACTGGACAAATTTGAAACTTACCGGTCATGTTTCAATAATAATAATAATAAGAATTGTGTAGCAGAGTTTCCGTTAGCATGTAATTACCAGACTAGGACCGGATATGCCGATGTTTAAAACTCATTTAATGGGGCTCATTTTTATATTGCTTCAGTTTATAATTGTAACAGATCGAAAAGTTCAGATTCATTTTTCAATAAATGATACGCTTCCACAAACAACATAATTATTACATTCAAACAAATTACTTATAGTAGATGAAGTACATTATTCAAAAGTTTACATTAACTTTGAATAATAACACGGGAGAATTAAACGGATCCTCTCCCTCCCTCTCTCTCCTGACAGCCCGTCTGTTTCTCATGCAGCTCGCTAAACAGTGGGCGGGGCTTCAGGTGATCATGTAGAGCTGCGTGTCTCGGTCAGACTCAGCAGCTGATCTGATCTCTGATCTCTCTCTCGCGTCCGGTTACACTTCACTCGCGTTTATGTCCATATCGATCAGATCCAGCTCTCCTGATCGGCCTTTATAGAGAGCACCGATCAAACTATTAAGAGTGAATATCAGCCGATAATGACCGGCGGCTGATCGATGAGAGCATCCCTAATTATTACCGGACATTTTGACCGGCAGGTTTTGAATTTACCAGTTTTTAATCAATTTCACCAGCTGATGCATGCGTGTATACATATTTAGGCATGTAGGGCTAACAAAGGCAGGGTTACATCACACTATCAGGGTCTTTGGGCCACTTTGTCCACGATTGACCTTTTTAAATTCTCTGTCCTGGCTCTATGATTCTTCCATTTACAGATGAAGTTCGGTGTATTCGATCTTAGTACAGGGTTAAGTAAAGCACATTTTCAAAACACAGCAAGTAGGTGATAGGACATCAGTTGGGTACTCCTTGTTTTTTTACTGTTTCTGCATCTTGTATAACTCTTTCCCTCTCGCTCTCCTCCAGGCTAACTGTGCCCAGTACGCTGCGGACCGGAGAGAGGAGGAGAAAATGTGTGATCACCTCATCAGCGCAGCCAAGCACAGAGATCATGTGACCGCTAACCAGCTGAAACAGAAGATCCTCAACATCCTGACCAATAAGCATGGAGCGTGGGGGACAATGTCACAGAGGTGAGCGCGAGATGAGAGGAACTGGGTGTCCAATTATACCCTGCCACATTTTTAGATTGCTGCTCCGCAGGATGTCATTTGATAGCAGACGTTACACAGGGAACACTTCTTGCATATAATGAGAAAATGGCATCAGTATGTGAAGTGATTATTAAGTCAGCACCATCCATCATGTTAGGTCCATATCACTAAAACACATTACCACAGCAGATTATGGCTTTTATCTGTGTAAATGTAATATCATATATTCAATCATTTAAGTTGCAGCAGAGACTTAGAAAATCTATTTCAAGTTTTTAAATTCTAGATACAGTCAGTGCTGAAATAAAGCCATTTATAAAAGAGGACATGGTGTTATTAAACATAATTAATTGTACATGAACTTCAGCACACACCCACACAGAGAGACAGCTAAATGCTAACGTCGTAGCTGCCAGCTGTGTAAGAATGATCGTTTTCTTTAGCACACTTAAATACACACATTTAATCAATGATGGCGTGCTATCCAGATCTGCCTCCAGACTTGGGAAGGACACGGATTTAATTTGAGGACATGTGACATACAGCATCTGAATCCTGTCTCCTCCTGTCACTGTTGATTAGGTACATTGTACTGTGCATGCTGTTAGTGAGCAACTTTTGCACAGCGGAAGCTTTAATTAAAGTGAAATTGCATCTGAATTTCTCTGTCCTCAATTATGTTTGTTAACATTAGCTTAGTGCTGATGAATAGTTTCACACTTACATGTCTAAACCTTGCTTTTCATATTTGTTCTTTGGGCTGTTATATGTTGTTTTTTTTCTCTTATTTGAAGTCCAGTTAATCGTTTTTGTAGTGTTGGATGTTTTATTGTAAACTCACCTTTCTGCTCAAATACTGCCTTTTTACCCAATAAAGTGGGACCTTTTGACTGTAGGAAATGAGTTCTGGAAGTAGCTAGCATAAATGTCAGCTGTAACTTCAACTTCATTGCCCCTAAAGGAAAAGTCTCAAAATGCACCACTGACACCACTGAAATTACTAATTTAGGTTCTTTTCCTTTGACGTCTTCAGCCAATTACACGACTTCTGGCGTCTAGACTACTGGGAGGATGACCTTAGGAGAAGACGGAGATTTGTGCGAAACGCGTCTGGATCCACTCACGCAGACGTGTCCCTTAAAGCTCTGGAGGAATACAGTCAGTAATGTGCACCAATTTAAACATGTTGTCAATATCTACATTTTGCATATACGGTAACTCTCTAACATAAACTATAAACAGGTACAGAAGAAGAAGAGGAGGAGCTAAAGTCGAAGAAAACCTTCCGCAGCCAATCAGTGGTCGCCCAGAACCCAGAGGCGGAGCTTATGCTGGAGGGAGACGATGACGCCGTCAGCCTGCTGCAGGAAAAAGAGATTGATAACCTCGCTGGTGAGATTCACTAACATAAGCACACGCATGCACGCACACACACACACACACACACACACACACACACACACACACACACACACACACTCACACACATATACAGGCACAATGCTACGATCCAATTGAAGTGTAAACTGTCTATGACTCTTGTTTTTAGTCCGTTTCCGTCCAAGACTTTTTATCTCCAAAGGCAAGTAATGAGTTTTGCAGCCGCACTAACCATCCGGCTGATTTGCTGACTCAAGAAGATTTAATCATAGTTAACTAAGAAACTGACCAAATATCTAATTTAATCCATTTCTTGCTCTGTCTTACGACACACCTGATCGAATGTTCCCTCTATTAGGCGAAATAGAAGAAGTAATCAATCTTGACTAACATGAAATGACTATATTAAAGTACATTTCATTATTTGTTGTGTGTGATGATTGCTTACAACTGTTGTGTGTACTGAGCCTGTCAGTGCTGTGTATGCTTGAAGTAGTAATAAGTCATGTATCCCCCCAGGCCCCGTGGTTCTGAGTACACCGGCTCAGTTGGTAGCTCCAGTAGTGGTGGCTCGAGGCACTTTATCCATCACCACCACTGAGATCTACTTTGAGGTGGATGAAGAGGACCCTACATTCAAGTCAACTGATGCTAAAGTAAGGGCAACCTGTTTTTTTATTGGATATTTTTACTCAAGGAAAAGTGCTTCGCTTTTAATGTACTGCTTCTCATTGATTCAAATGATTTAATGTATTGTCTATATAGATTTTTCTTTATGTTAAAATATTTTTTTCAAAGGATGTCCAACCCCAACAGGTACTGGCCTACTCGGAGGGTCTGCACGGTAAATGGATGTTCAGTGAGATCAGAGCCGTGTTCTCCAGACGATACCTACTGCAGAACACCGGACTAGAAGTCTTTATGGCCAACAGAAGTAAGTCTGCAGATCTTTGTATTACTTACATGAATTCACATGTATTGATTTATCAAAACGATGGACCAGCCACTGATATTATGTATTGATTATTTGCCCTAAATGTCAACTTGTCAAGCCTATAAATAAATAACAAGTAACAAGCCAGAGTTAGCAGAAATACCACATACCACTTTTCTCCTAGTCTTGAAAAGTGGTAATTACTTTAGTCTGCAAAGCATTAAAATAGGTTTATTAAAAAGTATTATTATTATTTGAATAAACTCTAATAGTACTGAATAACAGACTGGCTAATTAAATTACCCAGTATGCTTCACTTCTGCAACTCGTATATCAGCTGTAAAACTTTATTAGTATGTTTATACAGGTTTGTCATTTGGGAAGTATTTTCTGTAGATTGGACCTTGAGAAATTGAAGAGAGTGGTTGCAAGTGATGCACAACTCATGGATTATTAGCTTCTGCATCATTTATTGTGTACGAAAGGTCAGAATGAAAAGCATTAGCACTGGCTGCGCTCTTGTATCCCGGTGCAGCCTCCCATACTAATGTCCCCACTACACGGTAGCTTATTCGCTGTTTGGTGCAAGTATCCATCTTTATGCTGATTATGTCCCGTTTGTTCCTCTTTCTCCAGCGTCTGTGATGTTTAACTTCCCTGACCCGGCCACAGTCAAGCGAGTGGTCTACAGTCTCCCCCGGGTTGGGGTAGGAACGAGTTACGGCCTGCCACAAGCCAGGTAGGTGCTGCTGGTCCTTCACTATCCTGGGTTGGAAAGAAATGTCTTCCTGGTGTGATGAAAAGAATCTTCAATATGTGTGTGTGTGTGTTTCCCAGGCGGATTTCTTTGGCTACCCCTCGTCAGCTCTTCAAGTCGTCCAACATGACGCAGCGCTGGCAGAGAAGAGAGATCTCTAACTTTGAGTACCTCATGTTCCTCAACACTATTGCAGGTAAAGTCCACTTTCAATCCTATTGCTTGAGCTGACTGCTAAGTCTGTTATTGAGGATCTTAGACTCAAAATAAGATATGGACGATAAGTGGTCAAACCCACAACACTATCCTCTGTAGCCTTCTTTGTTTTTATTTTGAATGAGTTGAGAGAATACTTCCAGTATTTTTCTATTTTTTTCTCTCTTTCTACTGTGTGATGTTGACATTTTCCAGTGTGACTGCTGCAAAGATTTTCGCTGATGCAACGTTATTTCGGTGCTCTGAAATGTCCTGTTCTGTGTTGTTCTAAAATACCTACAAAGCCAGAAACTGCAGGCTATTTTATTTCTCTCCATGTGCATGAATAAAAGAGGCCTGTGTAGAGGACTGTATTGAAGGGAGCAGATAAAGAACCTGGACGATTTTAATAAGATAAACCTTTGTCAGCTCCAGCTCAGCTGCAGCTTTGACAACAACAGTCACCAATGTGGTCTGTAAATAAGTATTTATACAGAAATATATCAATAGGAGCAGCCACAATGACAATGGACAAATAGGAAATAATTACGGCAGTTAAACATTTGCTATTTTATGTGTTCACTTATTTTTAAATATTTGAACATATCTATCAATAAACCAATATGTCATAATATATGTATGTTATAGAAATGAAAAAAGAGGTAGCAGAATAGGTTTGAAGGCTTTAACATGCTGTATGCTGGTGTGTAGCAGTTTGTCAACAGCGTGTGCTTTTATACCTCCCCCATGTTGAAGATATCTTTGATCACACTAACATACAACCGCGACTGCCAAGGCACAC